CTCACGGAACAAATGATCTGCGCTGGCGAAAATCAGCCATAATGTGAAATCCACGCAAAAACACACAGCAGTAGGAAAAATGAGATCATCCAGAAGGAAACCAAAGAGTTGATTAGAATTTCAAATCTCACAGAGGGGCTTTTCCAGCTTTCAACGTTTACCGTTTCAGCTCTCACTACCTTTACATTTTGTCATTTAGCAGATGATTTTGACAGGAATTAAGCGATTCAACATGAAGAGGCCATACTCAAGAAGTGATAATTACATGAAGGTACTTATGTATAAGGCAGAGGGGACTTTTATTTTGTTTAATTACATTTTTATGGAGTATTTAATAACAGTAGGCTCAGTGTTTGTAAGTCAATTAGCTGAAAACTCACAGCTTCATGTTCTGGTTATAAGGATGCGCAATGCTGAGAAAGTATGCAATATTGGTTTGAGATTACCATATTTATACAAGCAGGACAGTGGCTCAGTGGTTAGCACTTTGGCCCCACAGTAAGAGGGTCGCTGCTTCGAGTCCCGTCTGGGTCAGTTGGTGGTTCTGTGTGGAGTTTGCATGTTCTCCCTGTGTTGGCGTGGGTTTCCTCCGGGTGTTCCGGTTTCCCCCACAGTCCAAACACACGCGCTATTGGGGAATTGGGTAAGCTAAATTGGTCATAGTGTGTGTGGGTGTTTCCAAGTACTGGGTTGCTTTTGTAAAACAAATGCTGGAATAGTTGGCAGTTCATTGCGCTGTGGCGACCTTTGAAATAGAGACTAAGCTGAAGGAAAATGAATGAACGAGTAAATGTATTTAAATATTAGTACTTTTCTTTGAAAATCATTTTTTTTATTTATATTGTTTTTTAAATTTCCCATTTGTTGTATTTTATTAACGTCTACCCCCACCCTAACCCTAAACACAACCGTCACGGTAACGTAAAAGCAATAGTTGTACTGAGAATTATGTATGTTATATATTAAATTACCTAATAAATTGTATTTTTTAACACCTACCCCCACCCCAACCTTAAACCCAATCATCACAGTACTGTACACATATTAATTATTCTTGTACAGTGTCTTAAAAAATGCTGCTATATAGATTGCACTTCCAGCGGCCGTGCATCCGATCTAGACTTTACCATCAGACAGTTCATCAAGGATCTACCGCTGGATCTCATCTCACTATAGTTGATGTTTAATTCATCATGTCTCTATCTCTCTTTGGTCTCTTGAATCTGTTACTGTTTTTACTTTATTATGAGTGTTGGTTTTATGGTTGGGGTTTGAGTAGATTAGTAGAATACAATTAATGGGTAATTCAATAATAATAATATAAATAATTCTTATTATAGTGACTGTTTTTACTTTACTGTGAGGGTTGGGTTTAGGATAGGGGTAGATGCTAATAGAATACAATTAATGGGTAATTCGATAAATAATATGAATAATTCTCATTATAATGGCTGTTTTACATTACCGTGAGAGTTGGGATAATAATATAAATAATTCTGGTTCACTTTTGGCTGCAGCTGTATCTCTTTTGGTAACTACCCAATAATAGCGGTTGGAGTACAGACGATCCAGAAATAGTAGACCATCCAGGAACTTTTGGCATATCTTTTCAACATACTATGGTTTGGGACTATATTCTGTTTCTCCAATACTATTTACGACGGATAGTAGCCTATGCAAACTGTGACGCAGCACTAGTTCTGGTGTTTCCAATTGGTGCACAAAATGCTGATTTCTCCAAATGAAGGTGAAATGAGCTGGCGAGAGCAAGTGTTGTGTAAGAGTGTGGTTAGCAGGAGTACAGTATGCACAGATCTGCACCCAGCTGGCATAATTTCTTCATATTACATAAATATTCCACATCTGAGTGTGCATGCAGCCGGTCAGGAATGTGGAGGATCACTAATGGACTGCGGTCTGTCATCGTCTACTCACGCTGGACCAGGCAGAAGAACGGACTCATTTTTGCTGTCCTCTTCTTTAAACCCTTTTTAAAGTTATGGATAAAGTGAAGATAAACGTAACGTCAGTTCAATTATGAAGTATAGTTTGTAGAATTAAGATATGTAAACATTATGTTATGGATAAAGTATGTGTTATTAGATTCAGCGGTTGTTATCTGGGAGTAACATACCTTGGAATGTTGTGTCTGACCAATCGGAATTGAGTATTCCAGACAGCCATGTAATAAGTTAGGGATAAAGTACATGCCAGGAGGTTGTTATTACAGAAATAAAGTCGACAAGTATGTCACGGCACTGTTGTGGAAGACTGAAGGGTTTATGAAGGAAGCCTACTGTCATAGATGTACTTTATCCTGCTTAATACACGGCTATTTGCCACCAAATGCAAAACTTTGTTTTGAGCCATAATATGAGCCATAATAAAGTTTATTAATACTTTAATTAAACGCAAAGCTGACAGAAACTACAACAGCTGATGGAGTATACACTAACCTGCACAAGATGGCGCCAAACAGTCAAAAATGTAAAGCTGACAGAAGCAAAAACAGCTGATGGAGTATACACTAACCTGCACATTATTCTGACACAAGATGGCGCCAAACAGCCAAAAACACAAAGCCGACAGAAACAGCTGATGGAGTATACACTAACCTGCGCATTATTCAGACACTAGATGACGCCAAACAGTCAAAAACACAAAGCTGACAGAAACTACAACAGCTGATGGAGTATACACTAACCTGCGCATTATTCAGACACTAGATGACGCCAAACAGTCAAAAACACAAAGCTGACAGAAACTACAACAGCTGATGGAGTATACACTAACCTGCACATTATTCTGACACAAGATGGCGCCAAACAGCCAAAAACACAAAGCCGACAGAAACAGCTGATGGAGTATACACTAACCTGCGCATTATTCAGACACTAGATGACGCCAAACAGTCAAAAACACAAAGCTGACAGAAACTACAACAGCTGATGGAGTATACACTAACCTGCACATTATTCTGACACAAGATGGCGCCAAACAGCCAAAAACACAAAGCCGACAGAAACAGCTGATGGAGTATACACTAACCTGCGCATTATTCAGACACTAGATGACGCCAAACAGTCAAAAACACAAAGCTGACAGAAACTACAACAGCTGATGGAGTATACACTAACCTGCGCATTATTCAGACACTAGATGACGCCAAACAGTCAAAAACACAAAGCTGACAGAAACTACAACAGCTGATGGAGTATACACTAACCTGCACATTATTCTGACACAAGATGGCGCCAAACAGCCAAAAACACAAAGCCGACAGAAACAGCTGATGGAGTATACACTAACCTGCGCATTATTCAGACACTAGATGACGCCAAACAGTCAAAAACACAAAGCTGACAGAAACTACAACAGCTGATGGAGTATACACTAACCTGCGCATTATTCAGACACTAGATGGCGCCAAACAGTCAAAAACACAAAGCCGACAGAAACAGCTGATGGAGTATACACTAACCTGTGTATTATTCAGACACTAGATGACGCCAAACAGTCAAAAACACAAAGCCGACAGAAACAGCTGATGGAGTATACACTAACCTGCGCATTATTCAGACACAAGATGGCGCCAAACAGTCAAAAATTTAAAGCTGACAGAAACTATACTGGCTGAATGGAGTACACACTAACCTGTGTATCATTCGGACACAAGATGGTCCCAAACAGTCAAAAACACAAAGCTGACAGAAACAAAAACAGCTGATGGAGTATACACTAACCTGAGCATTATTCAGACACTAGATGCCTTGCCTTGCCTTGCCTAACATCTTATAATAATAAAAAAGGCATAATAGGAGCCCTTTAAAGCAAATATAGAGTAGGGGAAAAGTATCCAACGTCTCATGTTTTTGTTTTTCTTGAAATAATATTTCTAAAGCAGCTGCTGACATGAAATTGAACCAGATTTTTGGTAAAAACCCAGACAATACAGACAAAAATAAACCAACACAAAAAAACCTGAAGAAATAATGTGCAATAACAATCAAACGACACAAGGATAATGTACTGAACTACTGAAATGTATTTAATTCTTTATATAAAAGGCTTTTTTTGGTGTCCGCAGCTTAGGGACGCCACTCATGTGGAGAATAAAGTCACATGCAGTGCTCAGGTGTGAGTTTCTCACAGACTTCAACAAAGGGTCAAAATCCTGATGCTTCTGTGGCTCTCATCTATCAAATCTGAGCTTTATTTTGTATTCTCTTTTGGATTCGGATCAGGTGATTGGCTGGGCCATTCTACAGTTTCTTTCTCTGAAAGCATCTAAGAGTCTCCTTGGCTGTGTTTTGGATCATTGTCTTGCTGAAATGTCCACCCTGCGTTCATCTTCATCCTCCCGCTAAAGATGTTGGAAGCTGAGAGATTTCAGCTGCTGTCTGGGCTTTCACTGCCGCACTACACCTTCCTTTCTTCATGTGTTCAATACTTTTTCCCTGTGTCATTTCATTTTATTACACATAAATGTATTTATTTGGTTGTTAACAGCACATGAGTTTTCTGAGAAAAGTGGAGACGTGTTCGATACTTATTTCCCCCTACTGTAGCTCATCTTCTGCCACAAAGCCTGAAATGGTAACACTTTAAAATAACGCTCCGTTAGTTAATGTATTTACTAACATGAGCAAACCATTAGTTATACATTTATTACAGTATTTATTCATGCTTCGTTAACATTAGCTGCTGTTATTTGAGTTAAATAGCGTTAGTTCATATTAACTCACAGTGCATTAACTAATGTTAACAAGCACAACTTTAGAATTTAATAATGCATTAGTTAATGTTGATTAACTGTGATTAATAAATGTCTTAAAAGAATATTCACACTTAGTTCATGTTAGTAAATACATTATCTAATGGACCATTATTCTAAAGTGTTACCCCTGAAGCGATCAGTGCCAGGTTTGCCTCTTGACCATCCAGACTAGAATAAACCGTATTAGTAACTGCATTCTGACCGCTGACCTCTGACCTTGCAGATGACCTGCCCTACTGCCCGAAGGGAATCACATCGAAGGTTTTCCGCTTTGACGTCTCTATCATGGAGAAAAACGCCAGCAACCTGTTCCGCGCAGAGTTTCGTGCCCTGCGTATGCCGAACCTGAGCACCTCCAGGACCGAGCAGAGAATCGAGCTCTATCAGGTGTGTATGACCGTCAGTGCATTACACACACAAACAGTAGCACAGAGCAGGGGATTTGTTGAAGATGAACAGTTCATTTAAAAACTAAAGGCAAAAAGGTTGTGGTCCCAGGGGGTCTATTCCAGATATTGAATATCAGGGGGTTTTGTTTGTTGTTTTAAAGGACATCTATTATGCAAAAATCACTTTTAAAAGGGCTTTAAACACAGTTGTGTGTCAGCAGTGTGTGAATATAATCAGCTCTTATGTGGAACAGTGACATCACACCTATAAAGCACTGCAGATGACATCAGCCAGTCACTTTATTTTATTGAAGGAAGTCACTATTATTCAGCCTGGACAAGCGGATCGAAAGTGACTTTAAAGACATTTTACAGTCTTATAAACTATTTCTATTTCAATAAACTATTTCAATATTAATACATATATGGAATATGGATGTACGATTGACTGAATATGCAAAGGAATATATGAATGAGCTTATTTTTGATGAATTAATTATTCAGTATATGGACATATGAATGTATTAATTAATGAATATGTAAGTATTATTACATATATGGATGGATGTATGAATGGATGTATGAATTAAAATGCTAATGAATATATAAATAAATAAATATATGGATGGATGAATTAGTGAATATGAATGAATAGATTTTTGATTAATTAATCAATATATGGATATATGAATAAATGAATATCATTTTGATTAATTAATCAATATATGTATATATGAATGAATAAATAAATGAACGTACATGTATTGATGAATGAATTAATGAGTGTATGAATAAATATATGAATGAATAAATAAATTGATACATCAAAGAACATATTTATTAATAAATATATGGATGATGTAATGAATAAATGAATGAATAATTATATTTATTAATGAATGATGCAATGAATATAAATAAATAAATATTTTTATTAATGAATGAATATATAAATGAATGAATGGATGGATGAATGAATTTATATATAAATGAATGAGTTTATTTATTATTGAATGAATTAATAAATTAGTATGAATAAATATATGAATAAATAAATAGATACATGAATGAATATTTAATAATGGTATGAATGAATAATGTAATGAATATACGAATGAATGTAAATATGTAATAATAAATATATGAATGAATGATGAAATAAATATATAAATTAATGATTATATTTATTAATGAATGAATGAATATATGAATTAATAAATTTGTTTTTTAATGAATGAATGATGTAACAAATATATGAATGAATGAATTTATATAAATGAATAAGTGTATTTATTAATGAATGAATGAATGAATAAATATATGAATAAATAATTAGATACATGTATAAATATTTTAAGAATAAATGATGTCATGAATATACAAATGAATGAATATATTAATGAATGATTATATTTATTAATGAATGAATGAATATATAAATGAATTTGTTTATTAATAAATTAATGATGTAACGAATATATGAATGAATGAATGAATATATATATATATATATATATATATATATATATATATAAATGAATAAGTATATTTATTATTGAATGAATGAATAAAAGAGTATGAATAAATATATGAATGAATAAATAGATACATGAATGAATATTTTATGAAGGAATGATGTAATGAATATATTTATTAATGAATGAATGAACATTTTAATGAATGACGAAATGAATATATCTATGAATTAATATATTTATTTATGAATGAATATATCAATGAATAAATGAATTATGTAATAAATATATGAATGAATATATTTATTAATGAATGAATGAATATATGAATAATTGAAAAAAAATAAATGAGTGAAACAATATATTTATTAATGAATAAATAAATGAATGAATGAGTTAATATATTTGTTATTGACTGAATGAATGAATGAATGAATGAATGAATGAATGAATGAATGAATGAATGAGTGAATGAGTATATATATAATAGTTATTGACTGAATGAATGAATGAGTGAGCACCTGACACCCAGTCCTGAGCTCTTTGGATCTGTTTGTCAGTAGAGCGCAGTACAGACCCAGATCTGCTGGTGTTTCAGCTCACTGCGCTCTCTCTCAGGCCTGATGTGTATTCCAGGTGCTGATGGATTACACAGACCAACATTTGCACAATTGCACACGAACAAAAGAAGCTTTCTGAGAAACTCCCAGCTTTACTTTCACATGCCGCTGCTTCTGACCGCAATATAAAACCCAGAGACTCGACCGCTTATATAACAGATTTATTCCCAGCTCTGCAGGCGAGGATGGACTCTATAGGTGTTGGGGATTTTCGATGGGTTTCCAGCATGTCTCGTCAGGAGCCGTTTCCCCCCCGTGTGGACGTCCGTCTCCGTCTGCAGGCCCTCCGGATGTTAGATTAGCTCCCACAGCCTCTGCTTTTATGGCCTGGGTAGCCGTGGGACCTCCTGATTTTATCTGGCAGACTCAAGCGTTAGACAGTCAGGGCCTCTTTCCTACACATGCTTTCGGGAGTCTTCAGATTCTGTGCTGAAAGACAGGGAGTGGGATGCCTTTGAGGGAAATTCAATAACTGTTTTCTTCTTTTCTTAGAGAGTTTGTTTTATTCTTAGGAATTAAAAACAATCTAGAAGCACTTTCTGGTCAGTGATGGACATTCAAATTATGGTACAATGCTTTCCCCTTACATTAGCCTTAAAGATGCTGTATTTAAGTCTTTTAATAGGAACCTATTATACCCCTTTTCACAAGATGCAACATAAGCCTCTGATGTTTCTAGAGTGTGTGTGTGAAGTTTCAGCTCAAAATAGCACACAGATAATGCTTTCTAACTCTCTGAAACTGACCCTTTTAGGCTTTGATCCTAATTGTGGTGTTTTGGTGACTGTCGCTTTAAATGCAAATGAGATTATGCTCTTTTCAGAAGAGGGCGGAGCTACAAATGCCTGTGTGTCAGCATAGTGGCAGATTCAAAAACAAGACTAACGTCTTATACTAATGACAACCCAGGCTCATTCTGTAAACGTTGTCCCGTGGACGTTTCTGAAGACCGCGATGTACTTCCCGGGAGGTACGTATTTTTGCAGTTGTCTCGAATCCGCGAGAGGCCGCTGTGTGCGCTTTTTCGCATCTCAAATGTCTCTCGCGAGTGCCGTTTGTGCCCGATTTTCTCGCTTAAAGATACCAGTGGCAGCTGTCAAACGACCAATTGTCTGACTGAATGATTGACTGGGCGGTGGCCAATCGGCTGACCCACCCTCCTCCTCCTCCTTCCCTAAACCCAGCCGACGGTTTACAAAAGCCGTCCAGAAAAAGAAAAGCCCTTGTCTAATTTTTACCATGTTTTCAGATTTCACCACATCCTCACTCTGTTATGAACTCGTTCATTATTTTTTGGATTCTGTTTTTGTCTTACCTGATTTCTGGAACCGCTCTTTCCCGGACTCCAACCCGGTCGTTGTCAGCTCCTCTCTGCGTCTCATGTCCGCCGACGTAAACGACAAGCTAACTGGACAAACTGGTTGCATTGGGAAAGTCCTCCACATGGAGGTAAGCGGTCAGCCGGTAAGCACCAACCGGAGCGGCTTCACACCGCCCCGTAACGTTCGCTTAAAATGAAATGCAGCCATACGTACCTCCGGCTACATAATGCGCGGCCTCCAGAAACGTCCGCAGGACTACGTTTTCAGAATGAGCCTGGGTTGGCTAATGAGGGAGAGATGGTGACTAGTGGGCGGGGCTTTCCCCCCTGATGACATGTACAGAGGGAGAATGTCAATCAAAGTGTTTCTGCAGACTCTCCACTCCACAACCAGTGTGCAGCATCCAATTGGATGATGCGACGGCAGGGATAAAGACAGGGACAGGAAATATGAATTTGTGTGTGTGTGTGTGTGTGTGTGTGTGTGTGTGTATATATAATGTCAAATATTACAGGACAAAGTGTCTTATGACTAGGCCTACACGGATTTCTGCAGATTTTTAGTCCATCATTGATTCTGATTCTGTTTATTTTCTTGTGTAAATGAGTGCTAATTCATATTTATTCAGTTTTTAAATTCATTCATTCATTCATTCATTTTCTTGTCGGCTTAGTCCCTTTATTAATCTGGGGTCGCCACAGCAGAATGAACCACCAACTTATCCTGCACATTTTTACGCAGCGGATGCCCTTCCAGCGCAAGTTTTTAAATTAATTTTAGTAATATTATTGACTAATATGAAAATATGAATATGATTTATTTACAATACAGTTTGTAAAGTTATATTTTAGTAGAGATATTATATGAGAGACTTGCTTTGTTCACTAAATGAGTGGATCTAACTAGATGTGCATTTTAAACATTAAATAAAAGTTAAAAAAATGTATTAATTTTTATTTCATATATTACGGTTTTGGTTATGATACTCCCAAAATAATTCTGCATAAATCTGCAAGTTTTTAACACAATTCTGCGCAGAACTAGCAAAAAATGCTACTTATAACCATATTGCTTGCATGACCCCACGATTCACAAAAAAAACCAGTGTGTGTGTGTGTGTGTGTGCAGTGTTAGGTGTTATCAGACTCCAGCAGTCATTTTTTCCATGAGAGACCGAGAGAAGTGTTTGTCCTCGGGCAGCTCTGGTGTCTGTGTCTGTGTGTGTGTGTGTGTGTGTGTGTGTGTGTGTGTGGCTCCTGTTCTCTTCAATCTCCTCCTCATTATCTGTGTTAAAATGCTCCTCTGGATCTCAGTGTGATTTTGACTGAAACTGTTTGAGCTTGTCCACGTCTAAATGCCTGTCAGAAACCGCCGTGACTTAATACAGAAACTCTGTTCATTTTGACTTTTAATCAAAGCACTATGCACTATTCTACGCCATTTTGTAGTATAAATAGTGTAAGTAGTGTGTTCACACTGAAAACTCTAAAAATAATAAGTGCACTTTAATTACCCGATTGATGCACTCATTCAGCCGCTAAAATAAAGTGTGTAATGATGGACACTTCACACACTTAACGACCGCAGGTTTGCTTATGTAGCAGAAGGGGCGGAGCTATCGGACGCACATGTTGGATAACTTTATTTGTTTTGAATGGTGAAAGCAAAATTCTCCTACGAGAGTGATTATAGCGCCTCCCGATGGTGAATGCGGTTATACTCACGGCAGGTATTATTTGATAATTCGGTCGTTTATTTCACTGATTAGGCAACCGTTAAACGTCATCAGGGAAACGGTTCGAATTTCCGCTTAGTAAAAAAACATTAGTGTGCCATTTGGGACGACACTACATACATATACTATCCTGTTGAGTGTGTATGTGCATAGTGCATGATTGCATAGTGTATAGTGTGCAATTTGGGACGCAGCTCTAATTTTACATTTTATGATTCTGCAAGTGAATCTGGTGATGAAACAGAATAAATAGCGAGTTAATAAGAGCACAAAGCAAACAGTAAGCTTGCTATTGTCAACATTTCTAGTTTTACAATTCTGACTTTTGTCCACAAAATATTGAATTTACAGTACACGGTTTCCTCACGATTGTTTTTAATTTGTGCTCTAAAATGTAAAAAATATAAGCAGGGCTTGAAATTACCCTTTTTAAGTGCCCATGATGTCAATGTTGTGTTTATTACCACAATATATCGCATTATTGAATATCTCCACATGTCTAATCATGGATGTTGATTAATGGAGAGCAGAAATCAGCTTTTACGTGTGTTTTTACGGCAGATTCTCCGTCCTGATGAGCACATCGGCAAGCAGCGCTACATCGGCAGAAAAAACGTGATGATTGGAGGGACGGATGAGTGGGTTTCCTTCGACGTCACTGAGACCGTACGAGAGTGGCTGACAAACAGAGGTCAGTCCCATTTAACACTTTAAACTCATCGGAAAGACTCTGGTGTTTTTATTACAAGACTTTTGAACTGTTTTGAACTCTTATGCGATGATTAAAATGGATCCTTTTCACATTTCTGGGTTTCTCAGGAGCGGAAGTCAGCATAGTTGGTGAACTCAGAGCGCAGTGAATGGCAGAGTACAACAAATCGTTTGTTTACAATCCTATTTACTGAAATAATGAAAGAAAAACTCAGACAACAGTGTTGTCAAGACTATATTCAACAATCAAGACTAATATGAAATGTAAATTTTACCAGCATATAAAAATTCAGATTTATTAAATTACAATATTCAAATTCACACAGTTTCAGTTCAGGTTGTTTTGGCATATTATTAGCTCCATAGTGTTGTGATCTCAGTCCCCAAGTGTGCAAACTTAAGACACAGCTCTTGTTTCATTATATTAGTGATTCCAAATGTTAAATTAAATTGTAAGCTGTCTAATTTGATGTTACCCAATTCAAGCATTTCAAAGATGGCCACCGACAGAAAATAACTCAAGACCGAAATGATTACTAGACTGCTCGCAAAGGGGCGCAACTGACTTCCGCTTCAGAGCAAGGTTTTATCTGGACACTGAATATGTTGTTTTGGAAGACATGTCTGGAGTAAAGTTAAGTTTTTGCTATGAGCAATGTGTTACTTTAACATCCGAATGATAACATAGAATGTAATTGTTAGCCCTCCTGTATAATTGTCCAAAATATCTCTTTAACAGAGAGGAGATTTGTTCAGCACACAAATGACTCATCTCGAATAATTGATTTCTTTTATCTTTGCCATCTTATCTTTGGGGGGGGCAGCTGTATAAAATCCAAAGGTTTACATTCCTAATCACCTGTTTGTAAATGGTCTGTCTCTAAAAGTGTGGGGGACGTATTCCCCCTGTCCCCCTGGTTGCTATCCCTCTGCCAAGAATAGAACAAATCATAGCTGTCAATTATTTCAGTCTATAATATTAATAATGTAAAAATAGAAAATATAGGTCAGGTCAGTATCCTCAGCAGTAAATAAATTGAGAACTTTAAACAAATATTACTGCAAGGTAAGTAATTAAATGTTATTGTTGAATAAAAAGTTAAAAGTTTTGTTGAGATTGGGAGTGTTGGTGATTGTACAGGTGAAATGGCCAGGGGTGCATTTCCCAAAAACATCTTTAGCCAACTAAGGTCGCACGTTTTGTCATTTCAAACACAGTTTGTTGATTCGCCGTTTCCCAAATCCATCGTTCCAACGAACATTCGCAAACTTGAACACTTGGAACTACACCTTTAGAGCTGTAGTTAGAAACATAGTTGCTGGCTGTGTTCTGTTCCCAATTATCCCCCCTATATTCATTTAGAACAGTCTAACATTTGAACTTGGAATGATTAAAAAAAACAGTAGGTCATCTCTCTTAGGTGTCATCTACTTTCAAAGTATTTTTACAGTTCAGTTTTAGTGATCTTCATGCTAACAATTGTGCTCCCTTCACAGTGCACTTTGAAAACATTGATGATATTATGAACACAGCCATGGCTCATGGCGAAAGCTATAGGTGACCTATTATTAAAAAGCAGAATTTGTGTCGTCTCTAAAGTTTGTGAAAAAAAAAAAAAACATTTCTGCAGTGGTTTGCATGTGTCAAATTGTAAAAGTAGAATAAAAAAAAAAAAAAAATAAATAAATCAAACAAACAAGATCCTACTTAATAATAATAATAAAAAAATCATCATCATCAATATTATTAATTTTATTATTAAAGTATGATTTATTTTAGTTTCATAATAAATATTACATTTCAGTTTTTAATAAACCACCTCACTATTTATTTATGTATATGATTTTTATATGATATTAGAATAGGTGTTTTATGTTTTTATGTTTTAGAAGACAATGTAATGTTCTCAATAATATTAGTAAAAACATATGGGCTCTACATGTGCCATTTACATATATTTCAGTTAATATAGAAAGCGATTGCATGTTTTTACCAAAACTAATATTGGATTTTATTTTAAATGTGCGTGCCTGTAAAACAGTATAATTTGTATAAAGAAATGATGGGGTTCTTCTCTAAAGAAGTAGTTCCTCCACCCCGTTTAGAGCGTCATTATTGGCGTTTTACGTTATAACTAATGTCGTCCAAGCGATGAATCTGCGACAGAGAAACTACAGGTTTTGGGAAACACTCGTCACTACATCGGTTTTTTCCCAACCGATGCATCGTACTACGATTGTTCAGCCGCGAGTTACGTTATTGTTTGGGAAACGCATCTCAGATTCGGTAGCTTTACGTGAACAAAGGAAAATTAAGACCCGTTCAGAAATATTTAAGACCTACAACACAACATTTCAGTAGAATTGAGATTTTTTTTAAGGCCTAAAATTGAGTTTTGAAGACTTAAGACATGTTAAGACTTTTTAAGACCGTGTGGACACCCTGAAGACACTAGTGTTCAGCTTAAAGTGACATGTAAAGGCTTCACTAGGGTAATTAGGGTAAAGTTAGGGTAATTAGGCAAGTCATTGTATAACAGTGGTTTGTTCTGGAGACAATCCAACACTAATATTGCTGAAGGGGCCAATAATATTGAGCTTAACATGGCTTTAAAACTATTAAAAACTGCTTTTACTCTAGTCGAAATAAAACAAATAAGACTTTCTCTAGAAGAACAGATATTATAGGAAACACTGTGAAAAACTCCTGAATCTGTTCAACATCATTTAGGTAATTTCAACCAAAAAAGGCTTATAATGAGCAGAATCAAGTGTTAGACAGCCGTGCTGTAATCGGTGCTTTATCCATTACTCACTAAAGTGATCGCGGTGTTAGTGTGAGATAGAGAGGTGTGTATGTGTGTGTAAAGTGTGTGTTTTTCTTCTCAGCAACGAACCTGGGCCTGGAGATCAGCGTTCACTGCCCCTGTCACACCTTCAGACCCAACGGAGAGATCATCGAGAACGTCAACGAGGCGCTGGAGGTCAAATTCAGAGGTGAAGCTGCTGACCTCATTCTTTACATTCTCGCTATTAACAAACCATTAACTAAGACATTTCCCAACACAGTCCAGACACATGCGCTATGGGGGGATTGATGAAGTAAATTGGCCGTAGTGTATGAGTGTGTTTGTGAATGAGTGTGTATGGGTGTTTCCCAGTACTGGGTTGCAGCTGGAAGGGCATCTGCTGCGTAAAACATATGCTGGCGGTTCATTCTGCTGTGGCGACCCCTGATCAGTACAGGGACTAAGCTGACGGAGAATAGATGGATGTTTTATGACACTAAACACTCGTATTTAACAGTATTGTGTATTAAGACTGTATTAAAACGTCAGTTTGGTGAGCAGAAGAGACACTGTTAATCAGAGCCAGCAGCGGGCGTTATTATGGGCTGGTTTGATCTGATAGCAGGATAATAACACATGATGAAGTGGTAATATTACAGCTGTACGGACATTAGTGGAAAACCTGCGCACACGTCAGAATTTCCAGCCATTATTTTACAGGCAAATCGTTTTCAAGAAATGCAGACTGTAAAGTCAGACTTCAGGATCTTGGCAGACCTGGAGCAAAGCAGAAGTTTAGACTATTCACACACGGTTCCAGCACGGACCTTTTCTACACATTTCTGGGTTTCCGAAATCCTCACAGCGCAGTGAATAGGAGAGCACAACTAATCATGTATGTACAGTCCTGTTTGTTCAAATAGTCAAAGAGAAAACCCCAATAATAATGTTTTCATGACTTTCAGAAAAAGAAAAAAAAAGAGTGTGACTGATAATAACGGCAGCCAGAAGAGAAGCTATAGCTGTGTCTCATTTCTGAAGGATGCATATCAAAAGAGTTTGAAGGCTCCTTCAGATGCATCCTTTGTTTCCCAGGTAATGAAGGAGACAACCGGTGGATCCTTCGAGACCTTGAACATCTCAAGATTCATTGTGCGCTGATAATGCGCACAATGAAAGGAAACTACAGATTAAATGTATGAATGAGGCTTTCTTTTACTTGGATATCTAAAGACATGTTAAAGGACACCACAAAACCTTCAGAAAATTAACAAACACACACGGCCCTGATGGATGTTTCTGTCATCATCGATTACTCTTACCGTACGTTCACACCGAAAGAGGCGAGATCGTCCAAGATCACTCTGGTCGCCCTGGCGACAACGCTGTCTGCCTTCAGCTCCGGCGGCGAGAGCGCCAAAACTCGCTACATTGATCTCGTATTTAAAGGAGCCGTTGCAGCATATCAGTTACACTCCTGCATGAAACATGCGTGAAAATGTTGCGCACTTCTTATCAAATTCATATAACAATGGAAGATCAAGTTGCGTGTGGCTTTGCTCTATTTACCCAATATGTGTCCATATGTCTGAAATATCCTGAAGCAGCTAACGTTATACTGTTTTGTACTGTCACGTTGCGTGAGTTTGCCGCTTTTTTTAAGATAAATTTATTTAACATTAATGAACATCAGTAACTCGCCAGTGACTTATTTAATGCATGTTCCTGTAAGAAAACATTGTAAATCCGGCGACCGCAATCATCAAACCCTTGGGAACAACTGTGGTCGGAACCAAAGTTTATAGGTCTGCGTTCTCTGAACTCCGATCAAGCGGTGGACAACTTCATTCTGATTGCTTGCCGCTGAACCGCGTCATGGTTCAAATACCATAAAGTTGACTTGATTTCAACTCTCCTCGATGCCCACGCCGGAGAAGACGCGCCGCGCCGCTTATCGTCGCCGGCTCTCATTGAAAATGAATGACTTCCAGCTACTTTGACGCTCTCGCAGCTTTCGTTGTGAACGTACGGTTACTTTTATATATGGAAGAGTGATGCGCGGATAGCGGTTATATCCGCGGGCGCTGCAGATAATCCGCGGGTCGGGTAATAAAAACATACATTATGATTAATTGCGGGTGGGTTGCGGGTGGATGTAGCAGGACAGCGGAAAAAGCAGAGAGTGGACTTTGCAGAATGGGAAGATATGAGACGCCCAAAAATAAAGTTTCAGTTAGAGGAGTCATTCATTCATTCATTCATTCATTTTCTTGTCGCCTTAGTCCCTTTATTAATCCAGGGGTCGCCACAGCGGAATGAACCGCCAACTCATCCAGCAAGTTTTCACGCACACATTCACTCATACACTACAGTTAATTTAGCCTACCCAGTTCACCTGTACTGCGTGTGTTTGGACTGTGGGGGAAACCGGAGCACCCGGAGGAAACCCATGCGCACGCAGGGAGAACATGCAAACTCCACACAGAAACGCCAACTGAGCCGAGGCTCGAACCAGCGACCCAGCAACTTTTTTGCTGTGAGACGACAGCACTACCTACTGCACCACTGCTTCACCTAGAGGAGTCATCAGAGGAAAATCTGCTCTCGTTCTGGGAGAGACAAGATCGCTTATTTCCACGACTGCAGCGCCTTGCGAGGAGAATCTTGCTCATTCCGTGCTGCTGGCCGCGTTTTGGAGGCGAGGCGGAATCGCTTGAATCCAGGCACAGTAGATGCTGTTCTGTTTTCACACTGTGTGAAGAATAAGGCCAAGTAAACACAACAGAGCTGCCGTTTAGGCTGAAGTGGCACCCTTTTGTTATCTGGTTTCTGTATCTGTAAAAGCTCAAATGTCTTAATTTTACTTTCTGTTTTTGAAAATTAAGAAAATGTCGTCTAAAGACAAACTCAACATTCATTTTCTTTTAAATGAACATTTATTTATGAAAACAAGAGATGGGTTGCGGCTGGAAGGGCATCCGCTGTGTAAAACATTTGCTGGATGAGTTGGTGGTTCATTCCGCTGTGGCGACCCCAGATTAATAAAGGAACTAAGTTGGAAAAAAATAAATGAATGAATTAAAATGCTGATAAGCATTAAACATCACATACAAGTAAATGTGTAACACACATCAGACAGTTTGTGAACAGATGCTCATCCTAATGGCAGCTTATTTAGATCATCTGGTCAACTAATATATTCATTTTGTGGTCTGAGGCTGTTTTACAGACATATCCTCACTTTAAAACCTCATCCTGACACTTCATTGAACATGTACACATGGACATCACCATATACAACTCAACTGCAGGTTAACCATGTTTATATATAACTTTAACTATTAGTTATTAGTTAATAAGCCCCTTATTTATCAAGGGCCGCCACAGTGGAATGAACCGCCAACTATTATATGTTTTACAGAGCGGATGCCCTTCCAGCTGCAACCTAGTACTGGGAAACACCCATACACACTCATACGCTACGGCTAATTTAGTTTATTCAAATCACCTATAGCGCATTTGTACTGTGAAGGAAACACATGCCAACACGGGGAGAACATGCAAACTCCACACAGAAATGCCAGCTGGCCCAGCCGGTACTCGAACCTGTGACCTTCTTGCTGTGAGGCCACAGTGCTGACTACTGAGCCACCGTGCCGCCCTCTTTTTAGACGATCAACACTGAAGATATCATTTACCTTTTCATATAGGTCAGAAAGTCTAAACTCACCATGTTAATAATGTTAGCTCGCCTTGCTAGTTTTGTGCTGAACAGTTTATCTGTGCATGTCATTAGGACAAGACAATAGTTTGCTCTTGTAATCTTTAATTGAAATCTGACTGTGTTCTTCCTGTTTGTTTACAGTTCAATTCTCAGATTAAGTCTGACTGAGGTAATGGGCGTGGCTAACACACTTAACCACGCCCCTCCAGCTGTCAGTTTATTCAACAAGCAGAAATGGCGAGCAGGAGGAGTCTGATAGGTTAATAACTCTCCCTAAACGCTTTTACCCATGTATGAAGTGCCTGATTTACTGCATCCAATCAGCTCGCAGTTGGAAGAACAAGCCACACCCACTGTTTTCTCGTTTCAAAATACAAAACAAAAAAAAAAAAAAGTGGTCGCAGCTTCTGCTTGATGCGCACTTTAAGGTTGTGTGAATGTTTGAGCTTGAGTTTTGTCCTGCTGTGTCCTCAGGGATGGACGTTGAGGACGACGGGCCGATCCGCTCAGATATGGGTCGTCTAAAGAAGCCAAAAGAGCAGAATTTGCCTCATCTGATCCTCATGATGCTGCCGCCGCACCGGCTGGATGTCCTGCCCACCTCCAGACGACGAAAGCGAGCTCTCGACACCAAATACTGCTTCTCGTGAGTAGACAGAATGGTTTCAAAATTTACCGTGGTTTGGAAAAGCCAAGGTTTTAAAACCGCTAACATTTTCTGTATTACCATTCCTAAGGTGTTTGTAACCTTTTTGGCATGTTTTCAGACTACTTAATTTAGTTTAGTGGGGCAACAGTATCTCCAGCAGAAAAGGAGCCTCCGCATCAAATTATCACTCACATTATCATTCATTCATTGATTTTCTTGTCGGCTTAGTCCCTTTATTAATCCGGGTTTGCCACAGCGGAATGAACCGCCAACTTATCCAGCAAGTTTTTACGCAGCAGATGCCCTTTCAGCCGCAACCCATCTCTGGAAAACATCCACACACACACTCATACACTACAGACAATTTAGCCTACCCAATTCACCTGTACTGCATGTCTTGGGACTGTGGGGGAAACCGGAGCACCCGGAGGAAACCCACGCTAAGGCAAGGAGAACATGCAAACTCCACACAGAAACGCCAACTGCGCCACTGCCTCGCCCTCACTCACATCATACTCCAAATAACTACAAAGCCAGAAAGTACAACAGTATGCATGTGCTACACTTGTAGTTGGTTCTTTTGGTCAAGACTAAAACTGATTCATTAGCCCTGGTTCATTCTTCAGTGTTCAAGGTACAAAACAAATAAATACACTTTTTTTTCCCCCTAGCCTAGTTTTTATTCTCACATTAATGCCTGATACTTGGGACTAGAAAGGTTGTTGGGAACTTTACCATCTTCAGGCTGAACATGTAAACCAGGCGTGACCAACCCTGCTCCTGGAGATCGACCTTCCTGCAGATTTCAGTTGCAACCCATAATAAACACACCTGCCTGTAATTTAATGTAAATTTAATTGGTTCAGGTGTGTTTGATCAGGGTTGGAGCTGACCTTAGCAGGAAGGTTGATCTCCAGGAACAGGGTTGAGCACCACTGATGTGAACTCATCTACTGACTCGTGTGTTTATGATCACAGTCTTGTAAACTCAAACATTAAGTTCTTTAAGTTTTAACGGTGGTGATGGTAATTACATGTTTGTTTATAGCCTATATTTAGCTTTTAATTTGGGAAATTGTATTAGGAATTTGTGGATATGGTCATGATGAACAAAACATGCAGTGATCATAAACTTGTCTGAGCTTATTTTCTGTAATAAACACCAGTGGAAAAATCCAAGGGGTTGGCCTACAAATATATTGCAACCAGCCAAAAAGCACTTTACGAGGAAACATGCACTGATTTCACCATCACAGGAGCACTATAGTGTGGCACAACAATGCAAAGCTCATACGCTTGATTTCCAGGAAGTGTGTGAAGTGTTAATGGTATTCTTTAAGGCAGGGCTGAATTTGACCTCCTTTCTTCTCAAAGAAGACAGAGCCCTTAGAATGCAAATGCATACCCCTGCTTCACATTCCAGTACCGTCATGTGTCTGGAGAGATTTTCTTGTAAGAAAGAACCTTTTAATTGGCACCTGACGGTTTGAAGCATCAGGGAGGATCTGCAAGTTTAGATTTGTCCCGCTGTTCTGTGTAGTGCACTGGCTCCTGAGCGTGTGCGTCTCTGTGAGCTCTCCACACCTGGGTCGGATCCAGGAGGGAAAAAATGACACACCTTACAGTGGAATTTCTGAGGCTCAAAAGACTGTCTGACATGTTTACAAGGCCATACAGAACCGAAATAAAAGTCTTAGAGACATCTAAGTGAAAAGAGTGTGTGGAAACGTCTCTGAATGAATGCAGAACCCTGGCCAGGAGTGAGAGAGACAGACAGAGCACGGATGTGAATAGGAAGGTGGAGAAAGTCACCGTCTTTCTTCTGCTTTCAGAAATTACGAGGAGAACTGCTGCGTTCGGAAACTGTACATTGACTTCCGGCAGGATCTGGGCTGGCGGTGGATTCATGAGCCCAAAGGGTACCATGCCAACTTCTGCTCTGGGCCATGTCCGTACCTCCGCAGTGCTGACACCACACACAGCTCGGTGAGAGTCTTCCTTATAAACAATGGTCAACCAACCATCTTTATGCTGGTTTTACCTATGTGACTTAGTTTCTTTTACCATGAGAGTTAGATTGTTTGTGTAATGAGATTGTAGAATACAAGCTGCTCTGTTTAACACAGTGAATGAACTGGAAAGAAATGGCAAAAAGCATCATGGTAATGTAAAAGAAGCAGCGATTAGAACCTCTAAATCAAGGCTCAGATCCAGACCAAGACTAGACTTTTTGAGGACCAAGATTTATCTCTTTAAGACATTGTTCTATATCAAGATCATACCCCTAAAGTCCTTGACCAGAACTAGTCCTAATAAGATCCAGTTCCTGACTAAGAAGAAACAGTTCAAGACACAGATCAATATCATACCCAAGACCTAATAGAGAACAACACTTAAACATTCAAGACCCAGATCCAAACCAAGACTTGCCCCTTCACGACCTAGACTAAGACTTGGCCCTAAATTCCAGACCAAAACTAGACCCTCGAAGACAGTGATGAAGATTAAGCCACTTAGGACTTCCAGATCAAGACTTTACCCCACAAGAGCGAGATCAATACTAACCAAGACCCAGACTAAGATTAGACCCTTTAAGAACCAGATCTAGACTAATCATAGACTATTTAAGACACAAACCAAGATAAAACCCAACAAGACTCCAATGCTAACTAAGACCTAGACTAAGACTAGACCATGAAGACCCATATCCAAACCAAGACTTGCCCCTTCAAGAACCAGATCTAGTTTGACGATAGCCTTTAAGACCCTGAAAAAACCCAACAAGACTCAGATTCTAACTAAGACCCAGACTAAGACTAGACCATAAAGACACATATCCAAACCAAGACTTCCACCTTCAAGAACCAGATCTAGACTAACCATAGACAATTCAAGACCCAGACAAAACCCAACAAGACTCAGATTTTAACTAAGACTAGACCATGAAGACCCATATCCAAACCAAGACTTGCCCCTTCAAGAACCAGATCTAGACTGACCATAGACTTCAAGACCCAGACAAAACCCCTTCAAGAACCAGATCTAGACTAACCATAGACAATTCAAGACCCAGACAAAACCCAACAAGAATCAGATTTTAACTAAGACTAGACCATGAAGACCCATATCCAAACCAAGACTTTCCCCTTAAAGAACCAGATCTAGACTGACCATAGACTTCAAGACCCAGACAAAACCCCTTCAAGAATCAGATCTAGACTAACCATAGAGTATCCAAGACCTAGACAAAACCACACAAGACTTAAATTCTAACTAAGACTAGACCATGAAGACCCATATCCAAACCAAGACTTGCCCCTTCAAGAACCAGATCTAGACTAACCATAGACAATTCAAGACCCAGACAAAACCCCTTCAAGAATCAGATCTAGACTAACCATAGACTTCAAGACCCAGACAAAACCCCTTCAAGAATCAGATCTAGACTAACCATAGAGTATCCAAGACCTAGACAAAACCACACAAGACTCAAATTCTAAGACTAGACCATGAAGACCCATATCCAAACCAAGACTTGCCCCTTCAAGAACCAGATCTAGACTAACCAAGACCCAGATTAAGATTAGACGCCTCAAGACCCAGATGCAGACTAAGACTAAACAGACTACGGGCGTGTGTCCACTGAAGCACCTCTTTGCTGCAGCACAAAATGCTTCGGTGGTCGTGCATGCACCCTAAGACTAAACTCTGGAGAACCTCGAAGCTCTCCGCTTTCATCTAGAATATCTTGACTCATGTTCTGAAGATGAGCTTGGTCTCAGGGAGTTTGTGAAGCTGAATGTGTTTTGTTTGATGATGATGATGATGATGAAGATAATTTGACGTGGGCTCCTTCATGTGTGCACAGCTGCTGAGTCTGTACAACACGCTGAACCCAGAGGCGTCTGCGTCCCCCTGCTGCGTTCCTCAAGACCTGGAGCCGCTCACCATCCTCTACTACGTGGGCCGGACGCCTAAAGTGGAGCAGCTTTCCAACATGATCGTCAAATCCTGCAAGTGCAGCTGAGAGGTCCGTTTTCAACCCATCCACGAGCCAAAAGCTTCTGCGTTTTCAGACCAGCCAAAAGGCCACACGACCATCCCTCAGACTTCCAGACCTTTAAAGTGACCTGTAGCGTGTAATGTTCGGTCCGCTCTTTTAAACCTCATGGGCATTTCTGAACTCTGGAGCTCCATGGAAGATCTACAGACGGAGCTTTACTGAGATCCCACACATGCTGGAGCCACGGATGGGTTCAACCAGCGTTTCTGTACAACGTAATGATTCTTTTGTTCCTCCAGACTGTTTAAAGTGTGTACCACAGTAACTCGCACTGTCTAATGGGTTTTTTTTTTGTTAATACAAACATGCTGGAAAGAGAAAACATGGTGTTTGGCCTTGGTTATGTTTACCTCTGTCACACGGCAGAAGTTTTAGGGATTTGTTTTTAGTTCTTCAATGAAGCTGACGTATGCCGACACATGAACTTCTAGATCACCATCTGCTAATGTTTCTACTGCTATTACTCCTGAAAACACCCCTTTTTTAATTAAAATGACAAAAACAGCTGTTGGAGTCTGAAGTTTGTCATGAATTGCTGAATATGATGATGCCTGGGAAGAAAATCATGAGTTAGTTGGCATGTCCAGTTTACATATCCAAACCAAGACTTGCCCCTTCAAAAACCAGATCTAGACTGACCATAGACTTTAAGACCCAGACAACCCCCCACAAGACTCAGATTCTAATTAAAACTAGACTATGTAGACCCATATCCAAACCAAGACTTGCCCCTTCAAGAACCAGATCTAGACTGACCATAGACTTTAAGACCCAGACAACCCCCCACAAGACTCAGATTCTAATTAAAACTAGACTATGTAGACCCATATCCAAACCAAGACTTTCCCCTTCAAGAACCAGATCTAGACTGACCATAGACTTCAAGACCCAGACAAAACCCCACAAGACTCAGATTCTAACTAAGACTAGACCATGAAGACCCATATCCAAACCAAGACTTGCCCCTTCAAGAACCAGATCTAGACTGACCATAGACTTTAAGACCCAGACAAAACCCCACAAGACTCAGATTCTAACTAAGACTAGACCATGAAGACCCATATCCAAACCAAGACTTGCCCCTTCAAAAAAACACATCTAGACTAACCAAGACCCAGATTAAGATTAGACGCCTCAAGACCCAGATGCAGACTAAGACTAAACTCCTCTAGACCCAGATCCAGACTACGGGCGTGTGTCCACTGAAGCACCTCTTTGCTGCAGCACAAAATGCTTCGGTGGTCGTGCATGCACCCTAAGACTAAACTCTGGAGAACCTCGAAGCTCTCCGCTTTCATCTAGAATATCTTGACTCACATGAACTTCTAGATCACCATCTGCTAATGTTTCTACTGCTATTACTCCTGAAAACACCCCTTTTTTTTTAATTAAAATGACAAAAACAGCTGTTGGAGTCTGAAGTTTGTCATGAATTGCTGAATATGATGATGCCTGGGAAGAAAATCATGAGTTAGTTGGCATGTCCAGTTTACTGAGACAACAACATGTTAAAAAGTACAATAACATTACAAAAATGGTGGTCTTCAATGGTCAATGGAGTTTCATTGCTCACATTTGATCATGCATAAGAGGACATTCAAGTAAATTCAGGAGATAATACACTGTACACACTGGTGTTGTCTCGATACTGACATTTTAAAAGCGTCCGTTTCCTGCTAACATTTGAGCTCGTTCTTAAACGGCGCTGATTTGACATTAACGTGCTCAACAGAAATGACTGTGAAGGTCATCAGTTCACCAAACTCGCCACTGCTTACTGAGTGGAACCACAGATACTGGGACACCGGAGTGTTTTAAAGTCGTCATTCATCAAGGAATCGCTCGTATGTCAGCTTATAGACAAACCAGCTGATCGACGTGACTTTAAAACACTCCCTGCATCTGTGTACACTCAGTAAACAGCAGTGAGTTCGGTGAGCTGATGATGTTCACGGCCAATCACAGTCATTTCTGTTGAGCACTGGTGAACACAATGGCAAATCAGCGCTGTTTGAGAACGCTCACAAATGTTATTGGAAAATGGACATTTTTTAAAATGTCAGTATCGATTAGTACTTAACTCCAGTGGCAACACTAGTACACATTAAATCAAACATTGATATTCCTGTTGCATAAGGTTATTCTGCATAATAAAATGAATTCACATGGTTGTTTTTTAACATCAACTCATTCAAAAAAATGTGCCGTTTGTCCTGTCGTCAATTCATTTTGGCCATTTGTAAACAAAAGTCAAAGTGAACGCTCGTTGTCATCAACATCAGGACATTTGGAGCAGGATACATCAAGTGTTACCAGGCCATGGGTTCAAAACTGAATGCTAAAGAGAGTGAACAAATAATAAAGTACAAACATCTACAGATCTAAATCCAGAATCATTTAGTGGCAAACAAAGTATGATATTAATACTCGTTTTCTTAACATTAAAGAATAGTTCATCCAAAAATGAGCATGTCCTGTTGATCTACACAGATCTTTAAAGATGGAGGAGACTTTTCTAAATTCAGTAGATGAATGTAATAATGCAATAATGTTGTACTGAATAAAAATACATCTAAATCTTCACTGGCCTGAGGGAATGTAACTTGAAAATTAACAGTAAATTAAGTGTTCATTTTTGGATGAACTATCCCTTTAAGTGACTTAATACTTGATAAATAGTTTTGCTTTAGAATTAAAGGGACAGTTCACCTTACAGCATTTTTACTTCAGCTGAACGCAAAAGAATATATGTTAAAGAGAGCTGGAAACCTGTAACACCTTACATACTATTCGTTTTTCTTACAATTCAAGTCAATGGTTACAGGTTTCCAACATTCTTCAAAATATCTTCTATTGCGTTCAACAGAAGAAAAAAAGAAACTCATTGCAGTATAGGTTGAGTAAAGGATGGCAGATTCGTATTTTTTGGGTGAACTAAATACAATAAATGACTTAATACAAACAACCAATTGTTTTGCTTTAGAATTAAAGGCACAGTTCACCCAAAAATGTACTTTCAGTCATTATTTACTCGTTTCAAACCTTTCAGAGTTTCTTTCTTCTGTTGAACACAAAATATATGTTACATACCTGTATATATACGTTATATAAGATATGTATATGTTTAAAAAAGCTGGAAAACTGTAACTTTTATACTATTTGTAGTTCCTACAATGCAAGTCAATGGTTACAGGTTTCCAACATTCGTCAAAATATCTTCTTTTGTGTTCAACAGAAGAAAAAAGAATTCAATACAGTATAGGATGAGTAAATGATGACAGAATTGTCATTTTTGGGTGAACTATCCCGCCAAATGACTTTATATCTTAAATAAAATTAGTTTTGCTTTAGAATTAAAGGGTCGGTTCACCCCAAAATTAAACATTTTCAGTCATTATTTACTCGTTTCAAACCTTTCAGAGTTTCTTTCTTCAGCTGAACACAAAAGATATTTTAAAGAAAGCTGGAAACCTGTAACTTTTATACTATTGGTTAATCCTACAATGCAAGCTAATGGTTACAGGTTTCCAACATTCTTCAAAATATCTTCTTCTGTGTTCAACAGAACAAAAACAAACTCAATGCTGCATAAGATGAGTAAATGATGACAGAATTGTCATTTTTGGGTGAACTATCCCTTCAAATGACTTAATGCCTAAAATATTTGTTTGCTTTAGAATTAAAGGCACAGTTCACCCAAAAAATGAAATTTCTCATCATTTATTCTTTCTTTACTGAATCTAAACCTTTCAGAGTTTCTTTCTTCTGTTGAACACCAAAGGAGATATTTTAAAGAGAGCTGGAAAAGTGTAACATTCATACTATTGTTTTTTTCTATGATGCAAGTCAATGGTTACAGGTTTCCAACATTTTTCAAAATATCTTCTTTTGTGTTCAAAAGAAGAAAAAGATCTCAATGCAGTATAGGTTGAGTAAATGATGACAGAATTGTAAATTTTGGGTGAACTGTCCCTTCAAATGACTAAATACATAAAATGTTTGTTTTGCTTTAGAGTTAAAGGCACAGTTCACCCCAAAAAAATAATTTCTCATCATTTACTCCTTCTAAACCTTTCAGAGTTTCTTTCTTCAGCTGAACACAAAAGATATTTTGAAGAAACTTGGAAACCTGTAACTTTCATACAATTGTTTTTTTTTTCTATAATGCAAGTCAATGGTTACAGGTTTCCAACATTCTTCAAAATATCTTCTATTGTGTTCAACAGAACAAAAACAAACCCAATGCTGCATAGGTTGAGTAAATGATGACAGAATTGTAATTTATTTGTGTGAACTGTCCCTTCAAATGATTTAATGCTTAAAACAACCAAGTGTTTTGCTTTAGAAAGGGTCGGTTCACCCCAAAAATAAAACAAATTCAGTCATTATTTACTCGTTTCAAACCTTTCAGAGTTTCTTTCTGCTGTTGAACACAAAAGATATTTAAAGAAAGCTGGAAACCTGTCACTTTCATACTATTGGATTTTCCTAATGCAAGTCAACGCTTACAAGTTTCCAACATTCTACAAAATATCTTCTTTTGTGTTCAATAGAACACTGTAGGTATACATAAATACCTACGAGTAAACGATGACAGAATCACCATTTCTGGGTGAACTATCCCTTTTTCAGACCAATTTAATACCCCTAAAATAAGAAACATCATAAAAACTGAACTGATCTTGACGTACGGACGATTACTTTATAAACAAAGCAGAAATACTCCAAGCGTCTCCTTTTTCTTCTTGTATTTTCCTCACCCCTCATCAGCTTTACCTGGTGATTGTTGTATCTGTGGTTGACTGAGGCACTTGCGCAGGTGGAGAGCGTCTGAACTCATGTAAACGTGCTAAAACTCGGCTGTTGGCGTTCTCAGTGTTGAGAGACATCAGTCTGCGCTCTTTAGCATGGGCTGAAAATCACACGTGAGACAGAAAGCCTTCAGATCCAGACACATACACACTCAAAAAAACAAAACAAAGAAGAACACACACATAAGGCTGAAACATAAGGGAGTGTAGTCAAGTTTGAAGAGGCTGTGAGTTTCTGACAGGGGGGTTTCATGAGTGTGTAAAAGTATCCCAGAGAGCAGCTGATGGTCATTCATCTGTTCCTGGAGCCCTGAGTGTGGAAGAGTTTACTGTACACCGACAGACCTGCCAACACACACACACACACACACACACACACACACACACGTCTATCAGTTTACTGTAACACGACACTGAAGATCACGTTTACTGCTATTAAAGTAACAGTTCACATCACAATCAACATTTAGGAGCTCGGGATGCACAATATACTGTACATACATACATATCAACACAAGATATATATATATATATATATATATATATATATATATATATATATATATATATATATATATATATATATTTATATATATATATGTATATGTATGAGCAATGTCACATGGATAGCGGTGCGATGTGACTCCCAGAGTTCATCAAGATTCTCTGGATTCATCTTCAACGCCTCCTCCTTCATCTTACCCCAGACATGCTCAATAATGTTCATATCGGGTGACTGGGCTGGCCAATCCTTGAGCTTCTTTGCTTACAGGAGCTTTGATGTGGAGGCTGAAGTATGAGAAGGAGCGCAGATCTCTCGCACGCCCCCATACTGAATGACCCCAAACCATGATTTCTCCTTCACCAAACTTGACTGATTTCTATGTGAATCTTGGCTCATGCTGATTCCAGCAGGTCTTCTGCAGTATTGGTGATGCTTGATGCAGATGATTCAGCAGAGAAATCCACCTTCTGACACTTTAAATGATCAACTAGAAGTTATTATTTGTTTCTCTTACAACTTGGGATCCACGACAAGACTTTTGTCAGGTAATATACGCTGTAAAATACTGGGACAACATGAACTAATTAAGTTACCCCCCAAAAAAACTCAAGAATTGTGTTGTTTCAGCTCATTTTAATTAAAATAATTTAAATAATCAGCAAACATCATTTGGTCTTCTTTAAAATCTCTTCTTTCATGTTTAACCGAAGAAAGAAACTCCTAAAAGTTTGAAAGAGAGAGCAAATGGTGAGTAAAAGTCATTTTTTGCGTGAACTATCTCCTCTAACTTCACGATCGATGTTTTTCCTTCATTATTAATGCTCTTTGCTGATATCGTCTGACAGCGTTTGGCTGAGATCTGAGTGTAAAGTGAGACGAGGTCGAGCGGAAACAACCAAGAGGAAAAACAAGACAACAATGGAGGGCTGTTTACAGGGCGACGCTGATGCGTGCTGACGGCTGATTTTAGAGAATGTGGCCGTGTGGATCCGTCTAAACTCACTAAAACAACAGCAGCGCTTTCTGTCCTCGCTCAGATGCCTTTCCCACTGCATCTGTGAACTTCAGGCGGAGCTGCAGGTGCTGATGGGACTCTTAAAGGGTCAGTTCACACTAAATCGGTCAGCATTCAATCGTCACGAACCTGTTTGAGTTCCATTCATCTATTCAACACTAAGGAAGACACGTCAAGTTGCGGTCGCTCTAAAAAGCACTCCAATTGGTCCACCGTTTTTATGTTGTTAAATTGATTTAAAAAAGGATTGTGTGTGTTTATATCACCTCAAATATGACGGTATGTACACTATACTTACACACATGTCTGTCCAAACAGCTTGAAAAGTAGATTTTTCACTATAGGTGCCCTTTAAGGTACAATTCTCGCTATTAATAAACCTTTAATAATGACTTTTAGCTAAATAAACTGATAATGTGCTGCTTATTAATAGGTAATAGGGAGGATTAGGGATGTCAGGGCTCAACAATAAGGACTGCCCGGTTGCCCGGGGCCAGCGTGCGAGGCACTCTGGACAGTAGACAGAATTGTTACTGGCCCGATTCGTAGTGCCTTGTCACAAAAGTTCAATTTGTCTGCAACTATTTGTCAATTGCATATGAATGCAGTCCTAGAAACGGTTTGTTCTTTTAAGCCTTTAAATGCTGCCTTCTCAGTGATGTTGTATACACCATATTGCTTTCCGGTTCCTTCTATCTGATTGGATGCTGTGAGCATGTCGTTTTTTTTAACCTGGTAAAAACCAGTACAGCAAAATGAATTTATGAGGCTAAAAGAATGTCTTGGAAGCAAACATTTACGTGGGTACAATGCAAAGATATGCTCATACATTTTTTAACATTTTAAAAATATTAAATTCTAGATTCAAACACATTTTTGACACAATATTAAAAACATGTGGCTAAGAAATAGCTATTAACTTTTTTTTTTGGTGGGGCCAGTGAAAATATTGGCCGGGCAGGTAAAAATCTGAACCGCTGGCCCAATCGGGCCAGTAGAAAAAATCCTTAGCGTTGAACCCTGGACGTAGAATTCACGTTCTTCGTGTACGAGCGGGCGCAGCCGTTTGAATCTTTTTGGCTCGAGACTTCCGGTCTCGTTCACTTCCATTCATTTTCAGATATTAAAAACAGCTCATTATGCTGCTTGATGCTGCTAACACTGATGTTTTCTTATTATATCCTTCCGCTTTGTCTGTATAGTTATGATCACAGTTGTTTGTCGAGCGAGTAGTTTGACCGTTTTCTGCCGTTTATTACTCCTAGTCATTCTCCCATTGGGAACTGAATCAGAAGTTCTAAAACAATCGCAAAAACGAGCGCACTTCCGCATCGCAGAATAAGGTCAATAAGACCCTGCAGACCCTTTATAAGTATATTTAAACAGCCGAAATAATAAATAACTAGCTAAATGTGAGAATTGTCCCTTAAGCTAAAGTGTTCCTGCTGTTATTTTATTGTTATTAATATTTAAGCAGCACTCATGCATAACATTGATGAAAAGTGATGTTAAAGACTCAAAATAAATCGATTTTGAATAAATGCTGCTCTTTTGCACTTTCTACTAAGCAAAGAGACTTGTAACTAAATGAAAATTGAAATATGAAGCAGTTTTCATCATTGATAAGCATCAGAATCAACAATGTTAGTATGGGTTTCCTTTGAGTGCTGTGGTTTCCCCCACAGTCCAAACACATGCTCTATAGGGGAACTGATGAACTGAATTGGCCGTAGTGTATTAGTGAATGAGTGTGTTTGGGTGTTTTCCAGTTAAGGTATTAGTCCCTAAGGAAAATGAATAAACGGATAAATATATATTTTACAGTTTTCACTGTATATTTAATCAAATAAATGCAACTTAGTAGTAGAATAGACTTGTTTCCAGAAATGCTTTCTTGACCAATCAACACTTCTTCTACAACTTCAAATCTGTGTTTAAGCTATAATGAGTCAAAAACAGCCAATCAAGCACTGGAACCCAACACAAGACAGCAGAAAGCTCCTCCACACCAATTCTGACCTCTGCACGAGTAACATATGGTGTAGAGAGTGTTGACGTCAGTTCACCCTGCTGCAAAATCTGTATCCTTTTTCTGGAGAAAGTCTGATTTGTTTTATTTCGGCTAGAATACAGTAGTTAAATGTTTTAAACCCATTTTAAGGTCAATATTATTCGCCCCTTCAGCAATATTAGTGTTGGATTGTCTCCAGAACAAACCGCTGTTATACAATGACTTGCCTAATTACCCTAACGTTACCCTGATTACCCTAGTGAAGCCTTTACATGTCACTTTAAGCTGAACACTAGTGTCTTGAAGAATATCTAGTCATCAAGACAAAGATGAAAGAATCTATGCATTAGAAATGAGTTCTTAAAAATATTTAGTTTTAGAATAGGTTAAAGAAATCTGCTCAGCAACACTAGATGCTCATGCAATGTCTGGTATTAAAGCTCATGCAGGAATGGTCACTATGTCCAGCTGCTCGGACACACCGGCCTCAATCCCACTGCCAAGGCTCCTCATTAAAATACCAGAGCCTGAGCTGGCATGAGCACCAGCATTCATCTGACAAAACACAATGCTGGACCTGCTGGAGCTGAGTTTCCATCCACCTATTTTTGTGCACATTTTGGAATATTCCATGAAAAAATGCTTACTGGACATGCCGAGATGTGTATTTTATCACTGAGGAGGATAAACTTTTTATCTGATGAGGAAAAATGTGCATAAACTATGATGGAAAGACATTTCATAAAGAAACTCTGTGTATACGCATCAACAGATGATGATCAGATGTACAATAACTGGCCACTTTATTAGGTACACCTTACTTGGACACCCTTTTTGTCTTCAGAATTGCTTTAATCCTTCGTGGCGTAGATTCAACAAGCTACTGGAAATATTCCCGAGACTTTGCTCCATATCGACATGATAGCGTCACATTGTTCCTGCAGATTTGTCGGCTGCACATCCATGATGCCAATCTCCCGTTCACCACATCCCAAAGCTGCTCTATTGGATTGAGCTCTGGTGACTGTGGAGGCCATTTGAGTACAGTGAACTCATCGTCATGTTCACCAGTCTGAGATGATTGAGCTTTATGACATGCTGCGTTATCCTGCTGGAAGTAGCCATCAGAAGATGGAGACACTGTGCTCATAAAGGGATGGACATGGTCAGCAGCAATACTCAGGTAGGCTGTGGCGTTGATGCTCAATTGGTACTAATGGACCCAAAGAAAATCTCCCCCACACCATTACACCACCACCACCAGCCTGAACCGCTGATACAAGGCAGGATGATCCATGCTTTCATGTTGTTGAGGCCAAATACTGACCCGAGCATCCGAATGTGTCAGCAGAAATGGAGACTCATCAGAGCAGCAACGTTTCTCCAATCTTCTATTGTCCAGTTTTGGTGAGTCTGTGTGAATTGTAGCCTCAGTTTCCTGTTCTTAGCTGACAGGAGCGGCACCCGGTGTGCTCTTCTGCTGCTGTAGCCCATCCGCCTCAAGGTTGGCCGTGTTGTGTGTTCAGAGATGCTCTTCTGCAGAGCTCGGTTGTAGCGAGTGCTTATTTGAGTTACTGTTGCCTTTCTCTCAGCTGGAACCAGTCTGGCCATTCTCCTCTGACCTCTGGCCTCATCAACAAGGCATTTGCGCGATGAGAAATTTGCGTTAACGAGCAGTTGGACAGGTGTACCTAATAAAGTTGCCGTGAGTGTAAATGTGTGGTTTAGGGTCTCCATGTTTTCAGCTTTCCATTGTTGCAGATGTGAAATGTTGTTGTCAGTCAATCATCACAGTTTTTCAGTATTATTATTCTTCTATTATTATTATTATTCTCTCCAGAACAGACTTGAGCATCTGTCTGAACACCCAAAGAGCGTCTCACGCCCCATTCACACGGGGCTTCAGCGTCAACACTTGACTGAAGGCGTGTCTGAAGTTGGGGGTGACGCGATCGTCATAGCAGCGTCAGCCAATGAAAATAGTCTGCAATAGGCCACTGTCTGAGCTGGTGTATTTGCATACAGCGATCTGATTGTCTGGCTGACGCTTCCGCCGGCGCTTGAAAAGTTGAGCAAGTCCCAACCTCTGCAGTGAGCAACACCTCTGAAGCGGCGCCGATGGATCCACAATGCAGTTCGGCAACGCCTGACGTCACCCATTCAAAATGGGAAGCGTTAACGCTGACGCCCCGTGTAAATGGGGCGTCACACCTCCAAAAGCCACCACATTCCCCGCGTTCATTGCACTTCGTCTTCTGAGGAGCAACTCATTTATTAGAGAAGAAAAAACACCACACTTCTACTAACAACTACACTTCTCTCAGCAATATCTGTGCAAGTGAGGGTTCTGTTCTGTTTTGTTTCTCATTGGATGGAAACGCTGCTGTATTCGCTAATGTTTTATGCGATGTTACAGTTTTGCGCATCTAATTCACATCTCTGAATGTAAACATAGCTAGTGAACAGCTATCTCTATGTGTGTGTGTGTGTGTGTCTGTGTGTGTCCTCACCTGTCTTTGCGCACACAGTGTCATACACCACATGTTGTCCACTGGTGGTCGTGTGAGCAGCTGGAGTCTCAGATAAAGCTGTCCTGTGGACAAATAACATGATAATTACAGTCTCATCACAATGCCTTACACCGTGTCCTAGCTACAGACCACGTGGCGTGCGATAACAGCTCTCTTTTCCATGTTAAAGGGAGTTTTTCTCCTAACCATCTGCCATGGGGATGTGTGAAAGGTCTTTTGTAGAAATGCTACTTCAGCGACAGAACAACAGCATAACCTAGAATGACAATGATCGCCTCAGGTACTGATTATGGGCTTGATTCAGTGTTAAAGGTTCCCGAAAGTTCCACCATTTACTGCCATACTGAAGGCAGCAGCAGATAGTTCACCTCAGGTCTTGAAAATAAAATAACTAGCAGACGCTTTGAAAATGAAAGTCAGAACATCAGTCACTCAGTAGCCTATTAAATAAATAACAGGCTACTAAAATGTGTTAGATTGAAAGCCTTTGGGCTCTATTTTGACGGTCCATGCGCAGAGCGCAAAACGCAGGGCGCAATCGCTTTCAGGGTGTGTCAGGACGCATTTTTGCTAATTTAAGGATGGGAAAATCCGCTTTGCGCCGTGGCACATGGTCTAAAAGGGTTGAGTTCATTTTCTTAATGAGTTATAGGTGTGTTTTGAGAATAAACCAATCAGAGTCTCATCTCCCATTCCCTTTAAGAGTCAACTGCATCACGCCAAGAGCGCATTCACTATTTACAGGACGCAAAGTAAGTCTAAGTGGAAAAACTGAGCATTTCACAAGCAAACAGTAAACAGTTAAGAGTTTTTTAACAGAAAACAGTTAAACAGAGCATCTACTGCGTGAGAATGAGAGATAATGGATCTATAAATAAATACTTTAGTTTGTTAAGCGCAAATATTCGTTTCAAAACTATTTCTAAATTCAGTTCTAATTTCCAGCAAACGAATAAATGAACAATAATAACAAAATGTGCTCAAAAACCTGAGTTATATCCTAAAACACATGCTGTGCCCCATATGGTCTAAAACCTGACAGGTGGGCAAATCTAAGCTTGTTTTTAATAAAACAAATATAAATATGGATATAATAAATAATACTGATAATAATAATAACATTATACAAAAGCAAATTGTTATGAATGAACTGAAAAAGCCTCCCGAGATGAAGAAGACATAAAAGCAGTGATTTTTCATATTTATGTCGGCTAGAAAATAATATGTTTTGTAATATTTTAATCCTTTATATTTATATCCTATATCTATTCTTATTATATCCTATATATATCCTTAATATTTAAATGTTTTCATATGTAAAGATATTTGCCTGTTGCTCTCTTGTGTGTATTAAGCAGTGTGTAGGCGAGGAGCAACTCTGCGCTGGAGTTTAGACCGGGTTAGTTTTGGTCTAATGAAAAATCTATTTTAGTTTCTCAAAATAGCAGCGCGCCAGCAGTGCGCCTCAGAACACCTTCCTTTTTAGACCAGAACGCCTATGGGCGCACATATGAGCGCTAATGCATTTGCTATTTAAACAGCGCCTCAAAACCACTCTTGCGCCAAGCTGAAACTACCAATCAAGTATTGCGCCGCGCCTTGCGCCACACTGCGCCGGGTGTATGATAGGGCCCTTTATCATTTTGTTGGGAGTGCAGTGGCTGGTATTTAAATGTTTCTGTCATATTGCATATCGCAAAAATAAAGAATTGCACTTTTCAGAATAATTCAGCCACCAACTGTATATTAGAAGCACACATAGCTCACTCTTTCTTGCAGTAAAAAGAGCCCTAATGACCGGCGCTCCCTCACAATTAACACAAGAATAATGCGCGTCTCTCTAAAGAAGGAGAGCCGGCACAATTATCCCAGGCTAAACGGGGCCCGACATGCCTGTAACTCTGCACGTTAAATCCGCTAAGCATTTTTGGGGAACAATAAATAAAGGCGAGCTGGTATTTAAGGGAGTCCGCCAGAGCCGCATTAGTGCACTAATGAGGGCGCACAGAGCTGCCTTGTAGGGGCCACAAAGTTGTCCTTTCATTTGGTTGCTCAGATAGAAAGGCTGTGAATTACGTGTAAAACTCTCTCTCTGCGCAGGAAATGACACTTCAGGGCTTTATTGGCGATTGGAGTTTAAGGCTATTAGTGTGTGCGGTCAGATGTGGACGGGCCGCGCGCCAACAGCAGCACACAAGTGGAGGTGTGGAGCTTGTTAAATCGCAGCCGGGACACTCGGTAAATTCAGATTGTGCTGGAGCAAAAACATTTAGCTAATATATAACTTTTCAAATATTTCCCAAGTGCTGTTTAACAGAGTCTTTTTATTCTGGAGGACGCCTTATTCCTTTTAGTTTGGCTGTAATTATTATTATTTTTCCAGTTACAAGATGTAAAATGCATCTCTGATGTCTCTGAAGTTCTAAAAGCTCAAAATAGCACACTATGACATCTCTCTGAAACCGACCCTTTTAGGCTTTGGTGCTAATTGTGGTGTTTTGGTGACTGTCCCTTTAAATGCAAATGAGATTGTGCTCTTTTCAGAAGAGGGTGGGGCTTTAAATGGCTGTGTGTCAGCATAGTGGCAGATTCAAAAACAAGACAATGTCTTATGCTAATGAGGGAGAGATGGTGACTAGTGGGCGGAGCTTCTCCCCTCTAATGACACGTACAAAGGGAGAATGTCAATCAAAGTGTTTCTGCAGACTGTTCTTATCAAGTCTGATTATAAACAATAGCATTAATAATTTTTTATCATCAGAAGCTGGATATATTCATACAACAATATTTAAACCCCTTATAAAAGGGATTTTGGCATAATAGGTGCCCTTACAGTGGAAGTGAATCTCAAGTTTATATTATTTTGTAAAATGGTTTCCAGTTTAATGAAAATATATTAAACTCCATTAATGTAACCATTTTTAAAAAACGGCATGTTTTAATATTGTTTTCAGCGCTAGACTGCTGCAATCTTGGAATATCGTTGTGTCTGACATCACGGGGTTGGTTCCGTTCCCTCAGCTGAACAGATACAGTGGAAGTAAAGGACTGAACATAGAGACTGTAAAGCCTAACCCAATGCGTAAAGTGATTGGCAGATTGGCAGTCTAAAGCCGCTTTTCCACTATCGTGCTGAATCGTTCTTTAAACAGAACTGTTCCATTCCGTGCCAAACCGGGCCAGACAGCACGGATACGGTTTCATTTTCCACTGTCGTGCTGCGACAAAGCTCTTTAAAACATTACACAAAACGCATCAGTAGTTGCCTTGGTAACGCAATGTAAACGGCTCCCTTTGTTCAATTAAAGTTAAATAAGAGCCGAAACTATTTATTTATTTTTTTCATAAAAGCAAAAGCAACCATGTGACTAAACACTGTTATGCCGCTCTATCAAATAGGGGTGCTAAATGTGCACCCTTATTTATTTATATGTTGCGCAGCTCTGGCTAAATTTTATTTGGAGGGAAAATTACCAAAATGTAACGTGATGATTGAAAATAATTGAAGGGGAAATAAATAATATTTAAAATCTCTGAACATAACAGAAAAATAAACAATGATAAGACAACAATAATAGTGCATTTGCATTATCGTGGCAGAAATATAATTTTGGACAGGCCATGTCAAAGGTAAGCGGGCACTTTCACTAATAAAAACACAGCACATAAATTATTTCATTTTTAACAATTAATTAAATTACACTGCGTTTTTATATCAAAAGTTGATAATGATATAAAATATACTACATTTTGATGGTAAAATGAAACCAATTAAGCGATGGTTTTTATTTGTTTTACTATTCAAACATTAAATAACGAATGCAGCAAGTGAAAAAAAACGAATATGAAACAACACATATATTGCAGGATTTAAAGCATATAAAGCACTATTATATTTAGCAAAATGCTGCTCTATTATCTTTTTATTTTGATCCTTTTATTTTTATTATTATAATTAGGCTATTTTTGTGTTCATAATTAACTAACAAGCTGTAGGCGAATTATTGCTAGACGTTTTAGAAAATATTTGCGTAGCTATATTAAAGATCACCACAAAAAAAAAAAAAAACACAGAAACATGTTACATGCCTCATAAATGTCATAACTTATGTAAAACTAAATCATATAATTGCCTATAGCTGAAATGATGAAAATTGCTAATTTTATTTTTATAAAACCTTCGTCAAAACGTATTGATATTTTTTGAGTAAAAGCAATACTGACATTCAAGAATCCATATTTATTTAATTCATTCATTCTTTTGACTTATTTATTAGTGCATATGCTGTAATATAAAGCATACAACAGTACCTTGGACAGTTACAGTGCCGCTCCATAAAGCTTTCAAGCAAAGTCTTTTGGACGGCCGACATTACAACACGAACACGCCGTCAGGTGGTCTCGCCGGTATTAACAAGCTGTCCTGGCTTTGAATTAAAAAGTGCAATTATTTCCTCGTTGTTAAAAGAGTCTGCAAGTTCGTGTTCCATGGATATAGTGATGTTGTTGTGGAATTTGGACATCGACGATGCAAAGCGTGACTTTATTCGCTTTATTCGATGCGCAGCAGGAAAAAAAAGTCAGCAGCGCAAGTCGCTCTACCGGATCAGAGCGAGTTTTGTGCTGTGAAATACAGCGCTGCGTGCAATAAACTCACATTCAGGCAGGCGAAGTAGGTCTGTATTCAAGTCAATAAAATAATAACTTTAATGAATAAAATATCTTCGTAAGAATGTGATGAGTTATTCACTTCTCTGCCAGAGACTACTCTATGGTTTTAAAACCCTTTTCAAACTGTATCGTTTAGACCTGGATCATTATTTTATATTAAATGTACTGTAGTTTATTGAGGATGTTTGATGACTAGCGCGCTTCTGCTGAGCCAGCTGTGGTAGCTTAGCAACCGAGTCGCGACGTCAACACACAGAATCTGTCAGCACAGTTCAGCACGGTTGTCTAACCGTGCCGAGAATTCCGGGCCGAGAACGGTTTGTAATCGTGCCGCGCCGTTCCAGGCTCAGTGGAGAAACAACCGTAACCGTACCGAAGTGTTCTTAGAACG